CGGATCTCCTTGTTGACCGTTACAAAAAACTTGTTACTAATGGAATGGAGCAACTTCCCAGATTAAAATTCACTGGCCAATGTTTTAATCCTACTAGGCAATTAACAGAAATTTTGTCTCGTACATTGGTTTTGGAGAACTAGTTGGAAATAGGAACCACTGGCGACTCTTTTTGTTTTATTTGCTTATATATAATGAAAGATTGGGAAAACTTATAAATGAGGCGTTTTGTCGATTTCTGTTCGAAATGAAAAACAAAACTAAGGAAAAATGCAGTTTTGAGGATGAGAGGTGGAATAAATTACATAATCATATCCGACAACCAGAAAATGTTTTGTTTTGTTATATATATATAATTGCATTTGCGATGATCGGCAATACTGTGTATGGTTCTAGTTTTAAGTTTACTTTCGGGAAATATTTAATGTTTCTCCGGGCTGCAAGCAATCCACGAAAGTATTTCTTTCATTTTTCCTATGAAACACAGTCTAATGAAATAAGATTATCAAGACAGTGTTATAGGGGAGGTATGATTCCCCTATCTCCCCATTCCAGGGCAGACAGGGTTCTACAGCCTTGGATGGCAACTGGTCTACCGCAGAAAGAAATGGCAACCTACTGCGGGAAAAAAAATTAACATACGGAAAACTTCGTTAGAAAAAAAGAAAAGAGTACTGAACTGTTACGTGATATGTTCTGCTATATAACAGTGAATGCCGGATAATCTCTTCACAGATGAAGACTTTAAACAACAGAAATGTGGTTTTACAGAAGGATACTGAGGATACTATGGACCAAATATGTGAGCAACTACGTACTTTTAGAGAAAAAAGAAATTTATAATTTACGACAGTAAACAGAAAATGAGAATAGAGGGCTTGGAAAATCTGGTACTCACAGTACAGATTGAAGGCAAGAGGGACAGGAATACGCATAACATACTTGGTGAGCTTCATTAAATGGATGGCGAAACAAGGTTTAGAAGAAATAATAAAACCAATTTATTAAGAGCTAGAAAGGACAGGGAATAGTGGAGAGCCATGATCGCCAACGTCCTGAAGGGACACAGCGCATAAAGAAAGTTGACATGTTAGTCGTTTATAAAAACACACACCCACGTCCGATAAAATGTTAAGTCTCTCATCCTCTGTACCAAAATTTAGAAATCTTGTTCATCGCGTCTTTATTTCTGATGCTGTTTGTTTTGTTTTTTGTTTTTTTTTTTTTTTTTTTTTTTTTTTTTTTTTTTTTTTTTTTTTTGGTTTCTTTCTTTTTTTTTTTTTTCTTTTTTTTTTTTTTTTTTTTTTCTTTTTTTACTTTCTTTTTTTTTCTTTCTTTCTTTTTTTTTTCTTTTTTTTTTTTTTTTTTTTGCTTTCTTTCTTTTTTTTTTTTGCTTTCTTTTTTTTTTTTTTTTTTTTTTTTTTTTTTTTTTTTTTTTTTTTTTTTTTTGCTTTCTTTTTTTTTTTTTTTTTGCTTTCTTTCTTTTTTTTTTTTTTTTTTTTGCTTTTCGTCACTTCGAGTTGATCGTTATTAAGCTTGTGACGAAGGTAAATTTCTTTACAATTATAAATTGATTACTTCAATCCTCACAAGCTTACGGCTACATCAAGTTGAAACCCCGACACCTGTACGATCACCGAAGTTAAGTAAGGTCGCGCCTGGTGCGTCCTGGGTATTGACGGTAAACTACAACCGGCAGCAAGACCTCGGATCGGGAGCGTGGAACTACTTTCTTATTGCTGTTGTTCCCAGGTCAACACCATTTGTTAGGGTCTCAGCTATGGGCAAATAGTTAACCAACAAACTTGGGTCAAAACACTATGAATGTATAAAAATGGATTTTTTTAATAGTAAAATTACCAACACGACGGTTATTTTTTTTTTTTTTTTTTTTTTTTTTAAAGAAAAAAAAGAATTAATGCATATAAAAATCCGTTTTTGCGGTTTAACTATTTGCCCATCTATTTATACGAACCTATCCTAATAATCCTGTCGCCATTAAATAGCCTATTGAGGTTGATATGACGTAAAATAAACCAAACCAATCTGGCTTGGTTGTCCGCTTGGAAATACCAGGTGGCGCAATGAATAATGGCTCGGAATTGTTCATCAGAGGGTTGAGTTCTAATTCCGGTTGGATTCGTAATATTCCTCCTTCAGCTATGGGTTAATTATTAAGACTGGTATCATCACTAAATCATTATCTCAAAAAGAAAATCTTAGAACCTAAAAATATTTTCTGGATTTAAATAACCTGCAAAGGCTTAACCCGTAAAAATAAAAAAATAAATAAAATCAATCGATCCTTATGGGTATTCCAACTTTGTTTTTACTCAGAACTAAAATCTCGAGTTGGAGTCCCAGTTTATTATCTAAGTAATTTACAAGGCAAATATGGCATTTAGCCAATTAAAAACGAAACTCGCATATAAGAAATATTTTTCTAATTTTACACCTTATTAAATGTTATATTTTTTTGTCTTGTAGGTTACCCGGGAAAGCGTTCGGAATTGTCTTGTAGGTTACCCGGGAAAGCGTTCAGGAATTGTCTTGTAGGTTACCCGGGAAAGCGTTCGAATTGTCTTGTAGGTTACCCGGGAAAGCGTTCGGAATTGTCTTGTAGGTTACCCGGGAAAGCGTTCGGAATTGTCTTTAGGTTACCCGGGAAAGCGTTCGGAATTGTCTTGTAGGTTACCCGGGAAAGCGTTCGGAATTGTCTTGTAGGTTACCCGGGAAAGCGTTCGAATTGTCTTGTAGGTTACCCGGGAAAGCGTTCGGAATTGTCTTGTAGGTTACCCGGGAAAGCGTTCGAATTGTCTTGTAGGTTACCCGGGAAAGCGTTCGGAATTGTCTTGTAGGTTACCCGGGAAAGCGTTCGGAATTGTCTTGTAGGTTACCCGGGAAAGCGTTCGGAATTGTCTTGTAGGTTACCCGGGAAAGCGTTCGAATTGTCTTGTAGGTTACCCGGGAAAGCGTTCGGAATTGTCTTGTAGGTTACCGGGGAAAGCGTTCGGAATTGTCTTGTAGGTTACCCGGGAAAGCGTTCGGAATTAGGTTGTAGGTTACCCGGGAAAGCGTTCGGAATTGTCTTGTAGGTTACCCGGGAAAGCGTTCGGAATTGTCTTGTAGGTTACCCGGGAAAGCGTTCGGAATTGTCTTGTAGGTTACCCGGGAAAGCGTTCGGAATTGTCTTGTAGGTTACCCGGGAAAGCGTTCGGAATTGTCTTGTAGGTTACCCGGGAAAGCGTTCGGAATTGTCTTGTAGGTTACCCGGGAAAGCGTTCGGAATTGTCTTGTAGGTTACCCGGGAAAGCGTTCGAATTGTCTTGAGGTTGTCGTTGGAATTGTCTTGTAGGTTACCCGGGAAAGCGTTCGGAATTGTCTTGTAGGTTACCCGGGAAAGCGTTCGGAATTGTCTTGTAGGTTACCCGGGAAAGCGTTCGGAATTGTCTTGTAGGTTACTCGGATCGATATGCATCTGAGGAATGCCGGGGCAGACAATGGCTGAAACCGTGTGATAAAATCGATGAAAAGATGAGGACACTAGTCCGAATATAAATAGGGTAAATATCTCGTCATTCAGATAGAAAATCTTTTCTTTCCTTTTTTTTTCTCGTCATTTTTATAACGTTTCAACCATTGTACGTGTCGTGATTCATCCTGAGTTAGTCACATGGGTTGTTTTGTTACACCATTTTTTTTTTTTTTTTTTTTTTTTTTTTTTTCATAATACTGGTAATTCCACGTTGGCAAATTTTGTTTTGCTCCCTCCCATTATTTCTCCTGATTGGAAACCCCCCAGGACATTATCCATTTTCGGAAATCGGAAGTAACTAACCCAGGAGTGAAAAAAAACAGATGAGGATACGTCTACATGTATATAACTTCTCATCGTAGAAATTCAGACAGAAAGCATCTTACTACTACAGTTCGTCTTGTACGAGACGCATTTCAGGTTTAAGATGATTAACCTAGACACAAAAGCTTCACCTGTCTTGATAATACCTTATATATATATATATATATGCACACAATGTGCAAAGTACGTTTGCTGTAATCTTAGCTTAATGTAGGAAGTAATTTTTTTTTGTTTTGTTTTTTTTTTGTCATTTATATATATCTGGAAGTGAGCGTCTAAATTTGTTTTTTTTTTTTTTTTTTTTTTTCCTATTATTTGAAAATCACGACAATTGTATATCTCTGATTTCGACGTGAAAAACTGTTCAAGTATTCAAAACGCGCATTTTTATTACTTTATTTATTTAGTAGCAGGCAAAGAACTTAATGAAATTCGCGAGGAACGCAGTTAAATTTTAATGACTTGCAAATCTTGTACAACACTGTAGGTGTAATTATACACGCTTTTCATAATACTAACAAGAAGTAACGTGACTGTGTGGTTTGAAGGACCCACGCCAATGAAACCGGAGATGTGCACATTTCATTTACACGCGTATGCAGAACGCTAAGTTTGAGTCAGTAGCAGGTAAGCTGAATCTCCGACTTGTATATCTCTTCATATGAAGTTAATACTTGGCTTTAGCTGAATGGAGTTAGAAGTAGATCGTTACATATAGTTATTTTCTAAGCGTAGCTTAGATGTGGCACAAGGCCGAAAGTATGGGGAGCCTAGTGAGGATCGAACTCACTTTTTAGTTGTAACTGATCTAGTAAAACAAGCTTGCTAACCATTACACCACGCCGAGGTGCCCAAGATCGTTATAGTGTTTGCTTAGATTGTGATTGAATCGCTGAAAGAATTGCTCCATTGGAAATGCGGATAATTACAAATACTTTTTTTTTTTTTTTTTTTTTTTTTTTTTTTAATGGTCCTGAAAGTCACTAGTTCAGTGGTGGTCCGTGTAAAATTTTTTGATGGCCCAAAGAAAGACACTATTTGAATTTCTTTTATTTAAATAATTACACCATAACTTTGTTACCTTTTTAACGGGTGCCTTTCATATTAATAAAATGAAAGTAGGATCATTATTATAATATAAATGTATTTTTCTTTCTTCTCAATTCATATTAGTGGTTCGCCAAATTTAAAATTATACATTTGGTTGTCCATAAAGTTCAAAAGGTTGGCGACCGCTGATCTAGTCGACAGCTGTATATGTAAAATACATCTGAAAGCTAATTCGGTCTGATTCGACAAGATTCAAGTAATCTCTTAAAACCTTATGCTTATTGTTTTTTTCTCTTTCAGATAAGAAACTAATTAAAATTCGGAATTGTCACTGATCCATATCCTAGATATCTTTTAAATGTTAATATAGTGTCTACTTCGTATTTGAAATAGACACCCCTAAATTCGTTTATTATATATTATATTATCTAAATTTAAACAGCCATATTTAGAATCGCTTAAGCCAATATTTGTCCAAGAGATTTTTCAAAGTTAATGTATGAAAGGAATAATTAACTAAATTTTATAACTAATGCTTGCTTTCTGCTTAAAACCTAATGAAAATAATATTTATTTACACAGTAACCTGTGATAGTTATGTCATTTGTGATAAGAAGGGTATTAGTACGTAAGTGAATGCAGTGGATTCGACTGAAACTCGAACTCGGCTTTCAGATTTCTCAATCTGAGCCCCTATCCATTACTCCTCCGTGCGGATTTCGAATTCCAGTCGAATCCATTACATTCACTTGCGTGCTAATAACCTTGAGAACGGTATGAATCCTCTTCTCCCCCAGCTATGGGTAAATAGCAGGACAGACCGGGTTCTATAGTCTTGGATGGCAACTGGTCTACCGCAGAAAGAAATGGCAACCTACCGCGGGAAAAAAAAATCTGCCTCGTCAGTCATGTATCGAATGGTACATGATCGCCTAATCCTATATCACGCATGGCATATAACTGACTGACTGAAGCTGTGATGACATAAATCAACAACTGTAGTTTCAGAATTTCGTCCTTAACTCAAAAAAGCGAGCAAAAACTTAAAAAATACCTGCAAATTTCATAGTCAAGAAAATGGTACTTGTTTAAAAATAATTTTTATATAACCAGGAGTTTAAGAATGTCATGTCTTTCATCTAGACGCCTGTTATGAAACGTAGTAGAATGATTTTTTTTTTTATAAACAGAATTTACTATGGTGCTGCTTATTCGAGAAATCTTAAAGAAATTGCGTTATCTGGTGGGGATCGAACCACGTCGATTTCTCATGCGAAGTAGGCGCTCTAATAACGTTTGACGTTATAGAACTACTTGTTGATATTTACGAGTAAGCTTTAACAAAAACACCCATAAATTTCATTAGGTCGAATCATGATGTATAGATGGATGGCTCTATCAAGTTCTGACGGTCGATGGTGAAGATTACACAATAATGAAGGTTCTACTATAAATCTGACTGCTTATTGCTACAAACTTGTTTCGTTCGAACTGCAAATCTGCTTAAAAAAAAAAAAAAAAAAGAAGACAGTGGTCAGAAAATAATACAAGCGTTACTGACATTAGTACATGTATAATAAGTGAGTAAAAGCCGAGGAAGTCAATAATGAGCGGTAAATTTTCGGTCACAAATTAGACAAAACAAAGAAAAAAAAATGACTTTTTAAGATCATATAATTCTTCAGGTACTATGGAAATAAAGTGATGAAAAAAAGACAATGTTTATTTTGACAGTATCTTTTAATTTATTACTTAAGCGTGTGTTTGTGTGGACGTGTTTGTTGTTCTTTACTTGTTAGGGATGGCTTCTAAAATAACAATAATCTTTTCTGTAGACGTTCTGGTCAGCTGCTACATGCATATTTTACTCAACAAATAACATTTTACCAACACTGAATAATTTGATCTTCAATTTCATTTTGCAGACAACCAAAAAGGTTTCTGGGCGATAATTAATTTACATGTATTACACACACGATCCTACTGTGTGTGTGTGTTGATAGATATGTAACTCGTGTGTGTGTGCGTTGATAGATATGTACATACATATAGATTCAGATATATAGATATAGATATACCTCACGTCAGGACCGTGACCCGGCCGATTTAATGTCATTCAGTTTCTATTAACCCATCATCATATGGCAGAGAGAAACGTTTAATTCTAGTGTTTTGTTTTTACGAATGTAAACAATCAGTCTGACTGCTCCAATTCATTTTACTGAAATGATTTATTAAGTATTACTTATATATATATATATATATATATATATATATATATGTCAGAGTAAATACATTACGATTGAGACACCTAAATTACGTAGAGAAATAAGAAAATTTACATTACTCGCTCTGATAAGGAAGAGGTCATTCTAATTATAAAATTTTTTCATACATGGAAAAAAATTAACAAACTTTTCAACAATACCGATATATTTAATTAAATAGAGGGACAAAATGTAACTTATAAAAACCAAAAATCAGCCTAGAAATCACGAATCTCATTAAATCGTGTTATATACTCACGCTTGATCACCAATACATTAAGCTCTCCCTAAGCACCCAACTAAATAGCCAGAGGAATAACATTAACCACTCTTTTTAGAACAATGAGTCCATCAAAAAAAAAAAAAAACTCAGTTTACCTTTTTGAAAAACTAAGATAAATAAATACGATTGACAAACTTACGGCTAGTCTCGATAGTTTACATTAATATCCCGCTTGAAATATTCTTAAATCTCTTAAAAACGTATCTAACAAGATCAAAGCTAATAAAAATTTATCGTTTCATCGCATTCAATGTTATTTCACTTTCAATTACAATTTTTACAAACAAACATTGGAATTACCGATGGAATCCCCTCTCAGTAGAATGTTGGCAAGTATTTTCTTGGAATTTCTAGAGTCTACGACTTTACAAAATATTTTACCTAAACAACTAACTTCGATATATTGATGATGCTCTATAAATATATCCACGTGATACTAATTTAGCGTATCTTGTAGATAAACTAAAAACTTAGCACACATTAGAATTCACATATGAAACAGAAAAATTAGTGGTTACAAAACACTATGAAATAGTTCTTAAGACCATCAATATGTTTTTGTAAAAAAAATTAACAGCAATAATTTTTTGAAGAAAAGCTTATTACCAGCTATACATTACCAGCAATAAAAAAATTTTCGGCATTAAATACCCATTGAGGTTGATATGCCGTAAAACAAACCAAACCAAATTCGGCATGTTACAGAGTTGACAACAGCCTAAAACTTAGTGTCCACCGAAAATCAACCAATAAAAATGACTTAATATACTTCTCTTCCCATTGTGTAACAACAAAATAAAATCGGAAATGATCATTGGATTCTATTTAAGAGCACTTAAAATTTGCAGCCCTCAATATTTACACGGAGAGGTGAAATATATTGAAAATACATTCAAGACTCTTCAATACTCTAACTACTCCATATTCAATGCGAAACGAAAGGCTCATAAAATATTCCCAAATATAAAAGCAACCCTTTCTGCCGAAGTAAACGAATAAAAAAATATATAGTTTTCAATTCAACAAATCTTTCAAGACTACAATTGAAAAGAATTTATCTAAACGCAATATAAAATTTGTCGCAACATCTTAATCGATCAAATACTTAATCAATCAAATACTTAATCAATCAATATAAAACAAAACAACAAGTCAAAACTTGAATGAAGAATTTACTCTATCAATTGCAGGAATGAATAGATGACAGAAACCTGAAGAAGTTATGTACACAAAAGGGACACTTAAAAAACGCATTAGTTGTTCATCTGTAACGAAACCGACCACAATAGGGAATGCTACTTTGATTAAAAGAGAAAATAATCGACGGAGACGAAAATGTCTGGAAAGTGCCCTGATCGCTAGTTCAGCCACAATAAATTTCCGTTAAGGCTCTTACGATATATCCTCATTCTTGGTAGATTTTCTGTTGTCGCAATGTGCGATAGTCTGAAACAAAAGTGATGGAGAGAAAAAGGATAAAGATAAATTTGGCTAAATTAACAAAAATATTATTTCAAAAATTTGGAAACTACCAGCGTCTCTCGTTTCATGAGTATGTGTAGTTGTGGAATATCAACAAATTTTAACGGATGAAACTCGTCACAAAACGTTTTTCAATTTGTCAAACTATTTTTCTAAATAGTATTTGTTGATATATATATATATATATAAAATTATACAAAATTTTTTGAGCTTTTTTTTTTCTGTATCTACTTTAATGGTGTCATTATATATCGTGTGTTAAGACTGTGTGCCAGTAATAAATCCTGGTAGAATTTCTACTTCTGTTAAGATCGCTTTTCCTGTACGTTAAATAAATCCACTGAAAAGAGGCATCTTTATTTTATTTTACTCTACATTTTTTTCTTCTTTTTTTTTCTTCTTTCTTTTTTTTCTTTCTTCTTTTTTTCTTCCTTTTTCTTTCTTTCTTCCTTTTTCTTCCTTTTTCTTTCTTTCTTCCTTTTTCTTTCTTCTTCTTTTTTCTTCTTTCTTCTTTTTTCCTCTTTCTTTCTTCTTTTTTCCTCTTTCTTTCTTCTTTTTTTCCTCTTTCTTTCTTCTTTTTTTCCTCTTTCTTTCTTCTCTTTTTCCTCTTTCTTTCTTTCTTTCTTTTTCCTCTTTCTTTCTTTCTTTCTTTTTCCTCTTTCTTTCTTTCTTTTTCCTCTTTCTTTCTTTCTTTTTCCTCTTTCTTTCTTTCTTTCTTTTTCCTCTTTCTTTCTTTCTTTCTTTTTCCTCTTTCTTTCTTTTTCCTTTTTCTTTCTTTTTCCTTTTTCTTTCTTTTTCCTCTTTCTTTTTTTTCCTCTTTCTTTCTTTTTCCTCTTTCTTTCTTTTTCCTCTTTCTTTCTTTTTCCTTTTTTTCTTTTTCTTTTTACGCCTATTTTGTTTGATATAAATTGACGCCTAACCGACTGCCCCAATTTTGCAATCGATATCTTGCATAACCTTTCAGCCATTCATTTTGAACAGATTAGTCATTTCTTTTCTGATTTGCCTCTTACGCAATGTGTAGTAAGATGCGAAATTTATAGTTCTAATAATGTTGCATAGAATTGAAAAAATTTTTAACTTTTTCTTACTTCTCAAGTGTTACCTGTTCGTGCCTAGATCATACTTGTCCTTTCTATTTGAAAGATTAACACAGAATAAGCTTAACTTCACTTTTCCTACTGACCGTGTGCCACACGAAGATTAGTAAAGAACAGTTTCACTCGAAATTTCAAGGCAGAGAATAAATTGCTCAAGGGTCATTTCATCTGCAAATCAGCTAACAGCCAAAAGCGCCCCACCCATAAATGTCTGAAAAAAATCACCTGTTCCTTGATCAAGACTTTTGATATATCATGAATAATAGAGCTGTATTTCCTAATAGTTCTAAAATAATCTTTAAGTTTAATTAAACTTTTTGTGTTTCACAAAATAAGGCTTTCAACGAACCGGTGTTCATAGCTCAAGAATATTGGATGCACAGATTTGAATTTAACATGTTTGGTGACACTATGTAATTACTTTAGATTACAAAAACAAACAGCTTAGGTGGGCCGCAAGTCCTTTTCATTTTATAAGGACCTGAAAATAGCTGAAATGCAAAATTACGCCGTCCACTTTCACAGCTTTACATTTCCAAACGAGGCCAGTTCTTCTATGTGTCGTGTTCCTTCACGACGTATGCGATCATGTCTCTCCACAATTTCCTGTCTTTTGTATCTCCTTAATAAATTTTCTTGTTATCTGTCGTAAACCCTCTTCCGCCATTCATTTACACAAACTTACTAGGTAGGTTATGCGTTATCTTCCTTTTTTCCCTTCAATATGTCCTCTGAGTATCAGATTCTCCATACCCTCTTTCCTCATTATGTGCCCAAGAAACTTTAACTATCTCTTCCTGATGTTAAGTATAAATTTTCACTTTTCTATAAAACCGTGTCGTTGCTCACATGTTCTTTCCATGGAATCCTCAGCGTTCTTCTGTAGAATCATATTTATGTTACCTCAAATCTCTTCTTCGCCCATGACATTATCCAGCATTTACTATCATATAGGAGGAGTGATATTGCATAACAGTTCAGTGTACTTTTCTTTGTTTCTAAGGAAATCTTTTTTCTGCTTCTTAATCTGCATAGCTTTTGGAATACATCTGTACATTTCTATGTAGTAACAATGTTCATTCCGGTTATAAGGATGTCTTAAATTAGTTTAAAAAATATTCTTAGCACGATCTTCAGATATATAAAAATGTGATTAGTTTCGTTTTGTGAAGAGACTTCTGTCTAGGGTGATAACCCATATTTCTAGAATCGTTTAAAAGTATTCTCCGCTTTTAATTATAAAGCGACCGTAATCTGACCGATGAGTTCTTTCCTTCCTCATTCGGGATTGTAGTAATCGAACTTTTTAACCAGCTGTCTTGATCAACAAATATCTTTAGCATTATCCGCTCAAATATAATACTAAATATATTGACAGCCATTGTTAGTGTTTGGACGTCACTAGATACTTCATGAATTCCCTAATGATAGTCAGTATAGTTACAGATTTTACATGATGAAGAAAAATACGATGCCCCTCTTCTGTTGAAGAACAATACGTAAGGCATCATATTGGTAATGATATTAGCCTTTTCCCTGCAAGAAACATCTGACCGAGCAACCAGTAATGCTTTCGATTGAAATTTATGAAATGTTTCTCTTGAAACAAGTTTTCAGGAAGACAGATTTTTAAGATCCACTAGCTGTTATCGCTCTTTCCAGTATTAATGGTCTCCTCCCCAACCTTTTGTAAGAACTAGTGCCGATTCTAGACACTTTTATGAAAGTTAGGCACGGTGGAGTAATAAATAGCGGCTCTGATTGAGGAATCAGAGTTCAAATTTCAGCCGAATCCATTATATTGCTAATACCCTTGGGAAAGGTATGAATCTCTCTTCCCCCCCGATATGGATAAATAGCAGGATAGACCGGATTCTGCCGCCTTGGATGGCAACTGATCTACCGCAGAAAGAAATGGCAACCACCTGCGGGAAAAAATCTGCCTCGTCAACCATGTATTGAAAGATACATGATCACTTACGTGTGTATCACGCATGGCACATACCTGACTGAGTAGAATTTAATAATTTTATTAACTTCAGAAGCATAAATGATCTATTAACATAACTATAAAAACAGTCTAGTGAGATTTAAACTTTTTAGTTTTATTCAATGCTTTTGTTTTCTTATATGTCTGCTGTTTATAAAATATTTCATTGCAACCACCAAAGTGCTTTTCTTCTGAATTTTGTTGAATATTTTCGATAATGAAGAAGTACGTTAGAATTTCCTTTTTGAACTTCCGTACAAATAATGACGTAACTTTTCTTAAAGATTACCACTGGAAAAGGGGGCATTAAACTTTACAGCGTTGTTTCATCGGTTTTTTTTTCTTTTTTTTTTGTTTTTGTTTTTTGTTTTGTTGGTTTTTTTTGTTTTGTGTGTGTGTTTTTTGAGTTTTTTGGGGGTTTTTTGTATATTTTTTTTTTCTTTTGTCTGTTTTTTTTGTATATTTTTTTCTTTTGTGTGTTTTTTTTGTATACTTTTTTTCTTTTGTGTGTTTTTTTTTTTTTTTTGTATACTTTTTTCTCTTGTGTGTTTTTTCTTGTATATTTTTTTTCTTTTGTCTGTTTTTTTTGTATATTTTTTTCTTTTGTCTGTTTTTTTTGTATACTTTTTTTCTTTTGTCTGTTTTTTTTGTATATTTTTTTCTTTTGTGTGTTTTTTTTTATGTATATTTTTTTTCTTTTTTTTGTTTTCTTTTGTGTATTTTCTTGTTTTCTTTTGTGTATTTTTTGCAAACATGTCATTATTTAATAAATAAAACTGTTCGGTTGTCATTACATTTGAATATTTAAAGATTATAGCTATCAGGAAGCAAGCAAATAAGAGGAAAGGAGACCCACTGTCGTGAAGTGCGAGAGAAGCTGTTAAAGTAGAAGAGTCGGTTACATTGAACTGTTTTGACGGTGAAAGGGTGGGACCGAGATGCCAACCCAGTATTACGCTTAAATCCATGCAGTTGGGGTACCAGTGAAAGTAAACCCATTAGAGCAGTTGCCATGAAAATATTTTTAGAAAAGACACTTTAATTGAATTATTAAGGTTCGGAAAGAATTTTCAGTATGTGCACGCTTGATATATATATTTATATATAATAAAAAGGCTTAAAGACTAATATTCCATGGTCATAATTTATTCCATTGAAATCGGAAATACGATCAAGTTTACGATTCAATGGAATAAATGATAAACCATGGTTTATTAGTCTTTTTATTATATCCTTACTCTGTCCTGGACATTGAGTTCTACCTGGATTCTATCCTCTTGGAATTTTTTTTTATACAAATATATAATATATATATATATTGTAGATATATTATTGCATATGTATGTGTATATTTACCACTAATATATATATATATATATATATATATATATATATGCGTAAGTGCTTGGTGCCACGTATGAGGGACATATGAATTTGGAATGCATTTTGAATGCAGCCAACCTTGTCGATTCTACTGTCGCGCGTGCGCACTCGAACAGTTTTCATTTTTAGATGAAAAGGAAGAATAAACTAAAAAGAATTACAATTTTAATTATATCATAGATTTTATGTTAAAAATCACTAGTTATTCTGTCTCAGAAGAGTCCGAAATATGGTTGTCGTCTTTGAGTAGATAATTGTCGATCATGTAGTTTCTGTGACACGGTGTACAGTATTTTTACGAAAATTTTCGGTAATGTTTCCATATGAGTGGTTATTTCCCGACGTAAACTAGACTTTGTGATAATCATGTTCTCTTTTCGGCACAATATTGTAATGTAAACGAAAGAAAATTTGCTGCGTAGTTTCTATATTTTATGCTTCACGATTTTTTTCTTTGCGTTACTGACTCTAGTCGATATAACTGAGCTCTCGCAATAAACGCACTCTTCTCACTTTATTTTAGTTTGAAATGAATAAAGCATTTCCTTCTTTTACTTTTATACCATTTTCTTGGTGTTATTTTACGATGTCTCGTCTGCTGTTAGAAGTCGATCTTGTTATAAAAGTGATTACAAAAGTTTAAACTCAAATGCTTGACAAAAAACTGCATATATTGTTTTCTTCTTTTAAATTGATATAAATGTAATGTCAATGTAATATCTTATCACAGTCGTCTTGTTTCTGTTAAAATTTTTACAACTTTGGCAAATGTAAAATCGGTTGAAAAATAAATGGTCTTGAAAGTGAATATAATAGTAATTGAGCTTAGAGTATCTACTAGACTAATGGTTCTTGTTTCGCTAAGTTATGGGTTGTGTATCTCAAATGTTGCTGCACAACGGGGATAGTTGGCTCATTCGGTAAATTCTGATTCTAGTTTGCTTTTTTTTTAGTTCGTGCCTCGTCTTTTTATTTCCTCCAGACCATCTTGTCTTTTTTTTTTCTCACCAATTTAAGGGTTTGTGTCTTTTTCCTTCCTTCTCCCCCCACCCTTGTGTTCGGGTCTTTTTACACACACACACACACACACACTCCTCTTGCGTTCGGGTCTGTCTTTCTCTCTCCTCTCTCTATCTCTCTTCATAGTTCATTCATATATTTTCATAATTTAGTAAATGTTTATAAATAAAAAATAAAAAAATCTTCATAAATTGGCAAATAACTATTGCATTAGTTTTAATTGTATCATGTTTTAGAATGTTGCAAATAATAAAATTCTTCTAAATAATCAATATAATAGTCTTGTAAATTCTCTAGAATAAAAAAAAAATGTATGAATTTACTTTTATCATATGTTTCGGTTTCATTAATTCTAATCATCTCTTTAAAAAAAACAACAAAATAAACATTGCCGAAGTGTAAAGGTAGTTAAAATAATAGCTGTGTCAATAGAAAACCCGTCCTTTTGACATTTCTTTTCTCATTGAACTAAAGGGTAAAGTGTTTTTCTGCTTGTAGGCACAAGGAATTTTGCAGGAACACTTAGATAAAGTTTCTTTATACTTCTATCCCCGATTCGTAATTTTGTTCACTCGCTGTGAGACTAATGCTTAATTTCGTTTATATATAAAAACAACTTTTAACATATTTTAAAAATAAAAATCCATTTTGCCCGTATTAAATACCATGGTCATCCATTAAAAGCCTGGAAACAAAAATGCATCAATTATCAGTTGGTTAGCATTGCGAAATATTACTATTTGTACTTTTTCTTGTACTCCTTTTTTTTTTCTTGTACTCTTTTTTTTTCTTTTTTTTATTGTACTCTTTTCTTGTACATTTTCTTGCACTTTCTTTGTTTTACTTTTTCTCCGTACTTTCTTTCCACTTATAATCTTTTCGACCGCTTGTACTCTTTTTTCCCTCCCACATCGTACTCTTCCCCACCTTGTACACTTTCCCTCGTAATCTTCACCACTTGTACTCTTTTTTTTTTCTGGGGTTCTTTTTTTTTTTTTTTTTTTTTTTTTTTTTTTTTTTTTTTTTTTTTTTCTTGTACTCTATTTTCAGTTTTTTTTCTTGTACTCTATTTTCAGTTTTTTTTCTTGTACTCTATTTTCAGTTTTTTTTTTTTCTTGTACTCTATTTTCAGTTTTTTTTTTCTTGTACTCTATTTTCAGTTTTTTTTTTTTTTCTTGTACTCTATTTTCAGTTTTTTTTCTTGTACTCTATTTTCAGTTTTTTTTTCTTGTACTCTATTTTCAGTTTTTTTTCTTGTACTCTATTTTCAGTTTTTTTTCTTGTACTCTATTTTCAGTTTTTTTTTTTTTTTTTTCTTGTACTCTATTTTCAGTTTTTTTTTTTTTCTTGTACTCTATTTTCAGTTTTTTTTTCTTCTTGTACTCTATTTTCAGTTTTTTTTCTTCTTGTACTCTATTTTCAGTTTTTTTTTTTCTATTTTTTTTTTTTTTTTTTTTTTTTTTTTTTTTTGTACTTTGTTTTTGTTTTTTGTTTTTTTTTTTTTCTTGTTTTTGTTTTTTTTTCAGTTTTTTTTTTTTTTTTTTTTGTACTCTACTTTGTTTTTTGTTTTTTTTTTTTGTACTCTGTTTTTTTTTTTTTTTTGTACTCTACTTTGTTTTTTGTTTTTTTGTACTCTACTTTGTTTTTTGTTTTTTTGTACTCTACTTTGTTTTTTGTTTTTTTGTACTCTACTTTGTTTTTTGTTTTTTTGTACTCTACTTTGTTTTTTGTTTTTTTGTACTCTACTTTGTTTTTTGTTTTTTTGTACTCTACTTTGTTTTTTGTTTTTTTGTACTCTTTGTTTTTTGTTTTTTTGTACTCTTTGTTTTTTGTTTTTTTTTGTACTTTGTTTTTTTTTTTGTACTCTGTTTTTTGTTTTTTTTTGTACTCTACTTTGTTTTTTTTTTTTTTTTGTACTCTACTTTGTTTTTTGTTTTTTTTTACTCTATTTTCTGTTTTTTTTTTCTTTTCTTGTACTCTTTTTCTCCCCTTGTACTCTTTTTTGGGTGTTCTTTTTTCCCCTTGTACTATATTTTTCCCCTTGTAATCTTTTTGAGCGTCACGCTTTACCCCGGAGCCACTCTAGGTAGGAGTCCATTTGTGTGCATAGTTGAAGGAGATAATGATTAACCCTTGCCTTTAATAGGTTAAGATGGTAGTGATCAGGGAAACATCCTCTTGGGAGTCGGTTTCACAGAGCAATGGTTCGCCAGAAGAAGCTGCTGGAGTGGAACATACTTCTTACCAATTGAATATGGAGAAAATGTGGGTGGTTTACTACTCTGTAATTGGCATGGCGTGTCCTTATCATGAAGGTTTACCTTGTCAGGACCAAACAAGTTCTGTTTGTGTATGACATACGTGGCCATGGCTTTCCATAATCTGAGAATTGCCAGGACTTGCTGCTACCCAAGGCTAAAGAGCCCATTATACCCTGCTATTTAACTCGTAACCCGCCGCAGCCAAAAAGATTAATGCAAAATTGAACACAACAGGCTAGTTAAAAATTTGGACACTGCTTCTTTTATCGCCTCCCTTCAGGACATTGGTGATCTTGGCTCTCCAAAACTTCCAATCCCTTATGGCATTTAGCAGTTTTTTCTTCCTTTGCTAAGGCTATCATCATCCTTCAACCTCGCTGTTGTTGGTCGGAACTTCATTAACAATCCTTTTGCACACTGCTCGGTCCTGCATTGTTGTCTCAAGATCACCAGTGTCTAACACCGTATTTCTGTTGCCCGGTTTTTTCCTGTGGGAGGGGGGGATTATTTAGCATTTACTGCCATATAAGAGGAGGGATATCACATAGCAACGCAGCACTCTTTTCTTCGTTTTTAACAATCTTTTGTTTCGCCTTAGGAAGGCTTCGTTTGCTTCTTCTATGCTTCTTCAGATTTCAGTGTCACGTTTTCTATCCTCTTTTAAATCTTATCCAACTGCTTGATGTTAACCTCTCAGATTTGTAATTCGCTTCTTTTTTTTCCGTCTCTTGCTGGTGAGCAAACTTCTTGCGATTGATGGCTAGTCTTTTTTTTCCCGCCTTCTTTTACGACTTTGTCTAGAAAGTCCTGTAGTTTTTTGGGGTTTTTTTTTTCGTGTCGGCCATCAACAACTTTTCTTGATCACATTCGTTTTTTACACGTTACCAGTTCAATCTATAATTTAGCTAATAATTATCAAGATAAGAATTTAATGCTCCTCCTTAATCTAAACATCTATCTCTGACCAAAAACGTAATTCTACCCTGCAGTAGTGTCGGTCAGTCACCATCGCGTTTTTGTCATGTACTGTTAAAGCCCAGAAAAATCTGATACAAGATCGTAGGGAGACAAGCTATTCTTCCACAAAATGTCGTTTGGATAAATTTGTTTTTATTTATTTTTTTTATTAATCCATTCATTCTAAGAAAGGCAATAATGCCACTAAGACGCAATGCGTTACTGAGTGCTAGAGAATACGAAAAAAAAAAAACACTGAGAAAACAATAATTAAGACAGATAACGATTGGCATTGCATTTAAATTTTTGAAGATCAAATTTGACTGGGAAGCAAAAAAGCCTGAAGGCTTCCACAAGCGAGAAGTGCGATAGATAAAAAAAAAAACAACTTAGTATGTAACTTACGAACTAACTGTAAAATGGTGTGATGATGCCGCTAGTTTAGTACTGCGCTTAAATTCATGAAGTCTAGGCACCATAGAAGAAAGTTCATCAGAACATTCATGAAAGTATAGAAAAGTCACAGAGAAGCTACATTTTTACGGCGGTAATTTAAGAATATTAGATTTGAATATCCTCACGCGCACACACACCCACATCTCAGTGGCTTAGCTTTTGGACATTTTTATTAGTTCCACTAATTTGGCAAATTTCGTTTTGAGATATATTTCTAGTAATGTCCCATGTTCCAAAGCGTATGTATGCCTACGAAATGATATATATTACTTAAATGTATACGCCTAATATACTTGATATGTCAAAAAAAAAACTCATAGTATCCCCTCCCAATTTACCAGGAATTAACAGAACTAATCGCAGACACTCTTGTTTTGAGAAAACAACCCACCCCCAAATAAACGTATACTCAAACTTATCGTTACCACTTGTGCAAGTCACTTCATCATAAAATGCATGCCTATTCATAGTCTCTGCCCAAAAGAATGAAATATTAAAGGACGCAAACATGTTTGTATAAGAAATTTATAAATAAGACTAAAAACAAATACCTACATCCTAAATCTTTGGCATTAATAAAAAAAAAATTACTTTTAAAGAAGTGAACTCTTCATTATAATCTTGTCATATAAAAGATTTTTCAGATAAAATAATTGATATTCTTGTATTTGTCTCAGGGTAACTGAAATAAGTTACAAATGAATTCAGATATATATATATATATATATATATATATATATATATATATATATATATATATATATATATATATATATTATATTAAACGCTCAACCTTCTTCAGGCTCTGTCTATATTTCTGAGATGAGGTATTGTAATTATTTACATTGTTTGAACTGTTGTCCTCGTGTTTGTTGCCATATTCACGACGTTTCGGCCATTATACGCTCTGGCCTTCTTCAGATATATATATATATATATATATATATATATATATATACTCTGATTCAGTTAATTTATCACTGTGACAAAATTCGTCAGTGTGTTATCTATAAAGCTTCAGTGTTGGAGATGGAATAACTTTACACGGACAACAATTAAAGTAGATGCTAATGGGATTTATTTTATTTTTCTTTTAAATAGGAAGGCATATTTTTCTTTACTAAAATTTATCGAATTTCTCAGGTCAGTAAAAGAAATAAAATACTGTTTAAAAACAAAAAAAAAAGAATGTTCAATTATAGGTACCCACTAAAAATAACGTTTACACACACACACACACACACACACACACACACACAACCAGTAGTTTATACTGTAACTATGTAGAGTAGACCTTCAGTTATTTTTTTTTTCTTGTGGGAAAGAATGCATAATTAAGAGTTTAAACATGATCAGTAGGCTCAAACCCTGACTCACGATGACTTGTGACATTATGCATGCATATACCTCGATAAATAATTCCGTCAACCTAATTTCATTTACTTTCCAAAGGTGCTGCACCCTGAGTTCGCCACATCAGTCCAACATAATCAGGAAATCACCTACGTGAGAAATTAATCATGGTTAGATTTGAACTGGTGTCTCGTGGCCGGGGAGCAAACATTCTAAACACTTATAATATATATATATATATATATATATATATATATATATATATATATATATTACAAGATGCATGTTTAATAAATGGTTACTGAAATTCATGTTAAAATGAAGATATATATATAAATTTGCCTGAACTCCGAAATTTTATTCATTATTTTCTTTCCTCTTTCAATAGCAGTAGATAGCTTCACCTATCGTCCGGTCCACACTTCTCCCCAGTCCTTTTAAACAGGAGTAGAGTTTTATAACCTTGTTTCCGGTTCTTTCTATAGTTCATATCGACACTATAACGTCTGATTAAACACTGAAATTTTATTCACTAATTAAATCTTGACCTTTTCAAGTCAAGAGTTCGCCGATATCTTCCCTACATAGCACTTCACTTCTTGTCCTTTCTTTGGTTCATACAATACCACACAGTAACCCTCTACCTTGTGGGGCTCTTGGGGTTTGTATTAGGTGAACATCAGTAAAATATATATAATCATTGTTATTACTGAAATACTGTAAGCTTTACAAACTTCTTTGTTTCTCAGTATTTTATATAGAATGTTACAATGAACGATTCTATATAACACACACACACAAAATGACTCCTTTGTCAATACCCATGATGCAGCACTCTTCCATAGATTGAACATTTTGTAGTAACAATTTCTGATCAAAATTCATCGCAACTGTTCGTAGATCAATCATTTTTTAATCTAT